CTCAAGACACTTCAAAGGCAGACAACGACCAGTCTGATAATTTTATGTCTGTGTCTCACAAACAGGCCATCACGGCTAAAGGGGCAGACTGTAGGAGACGACTGCCTGAAACAAACACAAACAAACAAACACTCCAAACTCCCTCCATCCCACCCAACCACACAAAAAACAACACACATACAGCACAGTGTGAGCACACGCACACCCCTCTTTCAGAGACAAACACAAGAGAGAGCACATACGCATTTCACCTTTACTGTGTCTCTCATTACCAGATGAAACCAACCGTACATTGATTCACAAAATGGAAGGGAAGAACGCATTAGTGTGTAATCACTGACTCCTGCATCGATTGGGGGGATGAATTAAAGGGCAAAGCAATATCATCAGTTGGCATAGGCCTTGGCTACACACAAATTACAGCTTCAAGGGGAAACAAGACTACCTTAACCTTACTGTCTACCAGTGCATATAGCCCAGCCTATGATGAATAATAATAATAGTAATAATAATAATACAGCAGAAGACATTTATGTCCCTAGAAAACCCACTTGCTTTGAATGTAATTTCAAAAACTTCTATAACACATCTACAGATGAGTATATTAATTAAGAATAACAGCTAAAGTGTGAACACCTGGGATTCTAGCTAGCGACCTTCAGGTCATTGGTCTATTTGTCATTCTGCACAGTGACATGCTAACCACAAAGAGCTTGAGGACAGACAGACTGTATTATTAACTGTGGAACACTGAAAAGTGCTACTGAATTCAGTTCAGGGAATACATTCCTTTGTTGGCTATACAGGCAATATATGCAGAGGCTACATTTCAGCAACAGGCTGGCACAATGTCATTTAAAAAGTGGCACACCATATCCACCATGCGTGCATGATGTCAGCGATTCAAGTCCAATCGCTGACATTTATGGCAAATCTTCCCTCTCTCTATCTCCATTCCCTGTTTCCTGTCCTCGTCTCCATGACCCAGTGAGAATTAAAGGCAAAATATTCCCAAGATAACAATTTAAGAAAAAAATCTATAGCCTACAACTTCTTGACTGAGCGAGTTGCCAAAAAGCTAAAGGCTGTAATGCTTCAGAAAAGAGTAGAATATAAGCACCTTTCTGGTTTGAAGCATTTAATATTACATATGATGCATCTTTCTGAACACCAGTGCCTGCTCTACTCTAAGATAAATAACATGTTTTCGCATATTAAAACACTGCTTTGAAAACTATGGTCAACAACCATTAAACTTGCTCATGAAGACAAAAAAAAAAAAAACAAAGGAGCAAATCCGAGGACAAAAAGGCAAATTCCAGTTCAGGAATATCAACAGTTTTTGTGTACTGTGATCAGTGGCTCACACACATACATTATTCACTACAGGCCATAAAACCTATAACGTCATCTATAAATAGATAAAACTTCAGACTTTGGTGTCTGATAAAAATGTAGGAAAATATCAGCAAAATTACTAACCAGAATATACAGTGGGTACGTAAAGTATTCAGACCCCCTTCAATTTTTCACTCTTTGTTATATTGCAGCCATATGCTAAAATCATTTAAGTTCATTTTTTTCCTCATTAATGTACACACAGCACCCCATATTGACAGAAAAACACAGAATTTTTGACATTTTTGCAGATTTATTAAAAAAGAAAAACTGAAATATCACATGGTCATAAGTATTCAGACCCTTCGCTGTGACACTCATATATTTAACTTAGGTGCTGTCCATTTCTGCTGATCATCCCTGAGATGGTTCT